TCTCCCAGGTCCCTCCCATTGTCAAGAGAGTCTCCCCCTTGAACCCTGGGCACATCTGGGTGGCCACACCACCACTGCTCTTCAGCTCCCCTCTCCCTTGCCCCAGCACTGGCCTCTGTTGAAGTTCAGGCCTCGCTATGAGTCCCTGTCTCTCATGGGGACCTCCGGGGCCCCAGCACCAACCCCCTCTGCTGTCGCCTGACCTGGCAGTATGGTCTGTGCTTCAGTTTCCCCCTCCTGAACCCCTGCCCCTCTGTCCTCAGGTGCCCCCAGCACCTGCACCCCCACCCATGTTACAGACCTCCGCCCCGACCGTGTGGCGTGGTCCTGAGCCTTAGTGCTGTGAGCAGTGTGCAAGAGCTGCACTAAGTTTGGCTTCCCAGTAGCTCGGATGGAGGTGGGCGCTGGTGCCTGGCTGCCAGGCTGTCTGGTGAGGGGGGAGAAGGACCTGCTGCTGTCGGGGGTGCATCCGCGGCGGCGTCCTGCGAAGGCTTGCCTTCCCCGCAGGTCGGCCCAGGTGACAAGTAGCCGGGTCCCCCACTTGAGGCCCTTCGCGGGAGGCCTCTTCCTGGTGCTGCCTTCCTCCCGCTCTGGTGGTGCTGGCGTGCTGCGGATAGGCTTTCCATGCCCTATTTGGCACCCTCCCCTTCCGTCAGACTGCACCCTGGGCCATGGATTGGTGGAAAGTTCTTGGGCTTCGTCCCCACTGACACTGCAGGTTGCCACCCCCGGGCCAGTTGAAATGGACACCCTGAAATGCAGCCGGGGTTTGTCTTCAGTAAATGGCAGTTGAGTGCAGCACAAAGGGGCTGCCTGCCTGTTGGTCTGAGTGCCACCCCGCCTGCGGCTCTCGTCTGGACCCGAGTCCCAGGGGGAGGGAGGGCTGCCCAGGGCCTTCAGAAGACCGGAAGGTAGTGCCAGCTGTCCTTCCTGAGCATCTCCGGTGCCAGGCACTGAGGAACACTTGTGCCCGCCGACTCAGTTATCCACACTCTCATGGCGGGAGAGTAGTGCTTTCACCAGTTTATGTCTGATGAAACCGAGGCTCCAGCAGGGCCCCACAGCCATTCCTAGTGATCCCCCTAACAGGGGACTTAAATCTACTCCCTCCCCCGCTCCCCAGCCTCCTCCAGTGAGCTGCAGTGTGGCCAGAGGCCAATTTATCACCACATCCCAGCTTTGTCTAAGAACCCCCTTCCTCTCCCCCCAGAGCAGAGTTGAGTGATTAAGGGGTTAGGCTGGCCCCAGGCCTCCCCTTCTTCCTGTTTGCTATTTTTCTCCTCCAGTGGCCCCTTCCCCTTGCTTAGGAGGCCTGGGAGTGGGAGGAAAGGGCTGCTGCAGCCTCAGCGGTGATGTTGGGGCCAATGAATGCCTCTTAGTTCGATGGGAATAATAGGGCTCTCCCAGAGGCCAGGGGTCTCACAAATGTTAGTGCAGGCCTGGCCTGGGTAGTCCAGGGGCAATGGACAGCTGCTGAGTCGTGTGTGACTTTGTGCAAGTCCCCAAACTTCTCAGCTCACCCACTGCTCCCCTACAAGATGGCCATTTTCTCAGGCGTGTCACGAGGCCACAGACCCTCAGGGCCTGGCGCACAGTAACTCCTTCATGATGGAGGCTGTCAGCATTGTTGGGCCCAAGAGGGAGGGAGGGCAGCTGTGGGAGACTGGAGAACTCTTAGGAGGAACACCCCTTTGTCCTCTGAGCCACACAGGTGTGATTTCCTTTGGGGTTCCCAAATCACAGGCGTTGTGCCTGGCCCGAGGCGGTTGCTCAGAGAGGAGAGACTGCCACTCCACCCGGGCTTTTCCACAGGCTCCCAGAAGGCAAGATGAGGATAAGGGCTGAGCCGGAGATCCTGAGGTCTGTGTGGATTAAACATCCTGAGAGACTTCCTGGAGGAGGAAGCATCAGGCTAGGGTGTTCCATGCATAGGTGGTTGGAATAGGTGAGCTGACACATTCAGGGTGTGGGAGGTGGGTTAGCGAGGTGGTGGTCTGGGTCCCCAGTGGCAAGGCCAGTTGGAGCCTCCAAGGCCAAGGTTGTAGCCCTGATAGCTGCTTCAGAGGGCACACTGGCCAGTGCAGAGGTCACACCAGCCAGTTGGAAAGCCGTGGAGTCCGCAGCTGGCTGATCACGGCAAGTTCCACTCAGCCCTGAGGCCTGGGTGGGCTTGAGGAGGTGAGACGGCCTTATGGACCCCTCGCTCTTGGGGGCTGCACCATCTATTCACTCCACGGTGATTTACTGATCTCTTGTAGACACCAGGCATTGCTGTCACCACAGTGAACAGGACAGGCCAAGTCCCTATCCTCGTAGAGATGGACGCAGGGGGAGCACTGTGACTTTAGAAGGGGGCATTGGAGCAGATACTTGGAGGCAATGAGCCTGGATATGTGAGGGGAAAGTATTCCCAGTAGAGGGAATAGTGTAGGCAAAGGCCCGGAGGCTGTTGCCAGCACGGCCCCCATGAGTAACTGGGCAAGAACACGTGATGCCGTCAGGGCTGGACTCCTGCTGGGCCCTTGGGAAGAGTAGGGTCACGAAGAGTGACCTCCATAGGGCACAGTTCCTTGGGAATGAGCTTCCTAGGAGGGCCAGCTTCTGTAGAGCAGGGGAGCAGCCACATACCCCAACCTCACCAAGTGGCTCCAGGCCCAGAATTCCCACTGTCGGGGAATTAGTCAGGATTGGAATGTTGAATTGGGCCAGCACTAGAGGCCAGGCCAGAGCTGGCAGACACACCTCACCTGGGCATGTAGATGCCAGCACTGTGCCCTGGTGCAGCTCACGTTTCTCTGCTCGTGACTGGAAGTCCCCCACCCTTCAGGAGCTGTTCTTTCCCATGGCTGTACCAGGACGGATAATAGTGTTGCTGATTCATCCTGCTAGCCCATACTGAGGACACTTTTCTGCCATGAGCATATGGGCTAGCTTTTGTGTTAGCTGGTCTCCCAAATGTTCAGACTAGAGAAAACAATGTGTGCACGTGTGTATGTGTGTGTGAGCGAGAGAGACAGAGAAATTTGTTGGCTGATGCCAGTGAAGAGTTCAAGTGACCAGCTTCAGGCTCAGCTGGATCCAGGCCCTCTAGATCCAGGACACCATGCTGGCGAGGTTCCCTGGCAGCTGTCCCATGTGGTACGGGGTAGCCCTGCAGCCTCTGGCTTCTATCCCACACTCAGGTAGCCCTGGAGCGCAGCGAGCAAGGGCCCAGCAGGAGTCCAGCCCTGACAGTGCTTGTATCCTGAGTTCTTCCTCAGCTACTCATGAGGGCTCTGGCATGTGTCAGCCTGAAGGTGTGGCTGTTCAGGTCAGCCCACATAGGTCAGGTGGGTCAGAGTGAAGAAAAGGGAGTAATGTTCAGTGGGCTAAGGATGTGGCTTGTGGGGCAGCATCCCCTGCTGCCCAGAGGGCATGGGTTTCCCTTGTGCCTAAGTTCCCAAGGGCACTTCCGCCCAGAAGCCCCATAGTTCCAGCCAGCTCTGCCCTCTCCCCTTTGGACAGCTTGCTCCCGAGGGCAGAGGCTATTTTCTGCCTGTGAATCTGGGGTGGGGCAGGGCCTGTCTCAAAGTGAGCCCTTCTTGGACATTTGGGACAGGAGAGGGTGTGCAGAGGATGGTGGGAGAGAAGGCCAGGGCATGGTGGCTCTGTCTTCCGGCCTTTCCTGCAATCCCCCTGCAGGGAGCAGGAGGCGGGGGAGGGGGTTCCTTTCTCAGGAGTGTATTCTGTCAAGCACTGGCGTTCCCATGCAGCCCCTTCTCCTTAATCAGAAAGGCAGAGAGCTGCAGCAGCAAGGACAGGCAAGTCCCTGCTGCTGCAGGTCAAGGCAGGCGTCAGCTTCTCTGAGTGCATGTCCCTACTCCCGGTGGAATGGGCAGGTGCAGGGGTGAGGAAGCCAGGAGCTGGGATGCACCCTGTGTGGCAAGACTGGCTAAGGTAATTGGAGTTTCCTCTGTCTGGCCCTCATCAGGAGGGTATAAGGTGTTGGTTGGCCCTAGAGGGCCTTAGGGCCTTTAGAAAGTGACCCAGGGTTGTCGTGTGTGCCAGGACCCCCACTGGGCTGTGCTGTGCCCTTGTGATCCTGCTGTGGAACCACTGGGCTTCATCCAGGCATTGCTGCGGGCCTGTAGGCCAGCTCGCCTGATTGGCGCCTCCTGGCTTCAGGAGGAGGTGACCAGCATGTCCAGCTGGGTTCAGTGGACCAGGATGCATTACTGGAAGCATTGCCACGTGGGACCCACACTCGCTGCCACTGCCCTGCCTCGGTTTCTCTAGCTAGAGAAAGGGGTGATGAAGTGTTGCATCAGGCAGCAGCACACTGATAAAGAGATGGGAGTCATGAAGCAGGCTACATAATACAGGGTGCTGCTCAAGAGCAAGATCCTGGCCTTTTTATTGATAAGCCAGTCATACAGCATTAGTCATATTGGGAAGCAGAAAAGGAGAGGAGGGAGTAGAAGAAGCAGGGGAAGGGTGGAACTCCGCTTCTCATCTGCTGATAGCTTGGTATGTAGATCAAGCCCAGATTGCCCAGTCAGGATTGCAGTCTTATCAGTGAGGCATTCCACTGACTAGCTTCTGGGGTCCTTGTTATACATCAGTCAGTGGCCTCCGGGCATTCCTAGTCACACCTAGTGATGCATATATAAGTCAGGAGTAAGTTTATGGTCCGTCATCAGCTAGGCCCCTCCCTCCGCTCCCCCCTCCCCTGGCGCTCCCGGACATACCTCTTCATGCAAACCCTTCCCAGACTGATCTAGCTTTATGCTCTTATTTGATTTGAAAGGTGCCTCGTAGGGTTGGGCTCCTATGCTCAGGCCATTCTGATCTTGCTTTAGGAATACAGAACTGTAGGTAATAAAATGGAGGCTGGATAGGCCACTTAGAATTAGCAGGCCCACAATGAAGGGTTGAGGGTGCTGAAGTCCCTCTGTTGCCATCAGCAGGTGCTCTGGCATCTGGTGACATTATGACCCATTGCCGCCTTTTTCTTTCAGCAGGTGGTGATGATGGCGCAGAGGACGTGAGCTGTACCTCATCCACCCACTGAGTGGCACCACCATGCAGAAGCCCAGCGGCTTGAAGCCCCCGGGCCGTGGGGGGAAGCACTCGAGTCCTGTCGGCCGGACGTCCTCCGGGTCGGCTTCGGGCTCTGCGGCGGCAGCTGCAGGCTCCAAGGAAGGTGGGTAAGGCCAAGGTGGTGTGCTGGGGGTCTGGTGGGCGTGGCTTTCTAGAGGGAGCCCTGGGACAGGTCTCCTGTGCCTAGCCAGAGTCCAGCAGTTGAGGATGTTCTTCATGCTGACGTGATCCCTCACAAACTAACTAGCAGCGTGCACTGCCTCTTACTGTGTGTGTGCTTTGTTCCTTTTCTTGCTCCCCAGCTCTGGGAGGAGGGTGTCTGTTGGCTTCACTTAGGGATAAAGAAATGAGGTCCAGGGAGGCATGGCAGTGTGTCCAAGGTCACTCAGCCAGTAGCGCAGCCAGGACTCACACGTCAGACTCACTGGCCTCTCATGCCCACCCATTCCCCTTCCAGGCTGAGGTGCCTGGTGGAGCCGGTCCTAGCGCGGGCCACCCAGAGCTTGCTCTTAGCCTTTCCACACCTGAGCTCTGGCCTTCCACCTGGTGGGCAAGGCGTTCCAGCAGGGCAAGGGCACCAGTTTTGTGGACAAATGGGTAGAAAGAGCTGTTAGTTCTTTGCTTTTTCTTATGATGAAAATAAGATGGTCTGTGCCACCTTGGTAAGGTGACGCCAGGGGAAATTGCCTAGAGTCACACCCCTAGAGGCAACTATTACTACTCTGGCTTATGTCCACACATTTTTTGTTACCTGTTGGCCACTATGCTTCATGCACAAGTACAGTGTTCATATATCCATATGTATGTTTACTGTATACATGGTGCCTCATGTACCAGCAATCTGCTATGAAAAAGAATATAATCAAATGAATTTTTTCATTAGGAAAACGTCATATCTGTCTTTTTTTTTATTATTTTTTCTTTTTTTAAAGATTTATTTATTTATTTGTACAGAACTGGGGTACAGGCCAGAGATGCGGAGGGTGAGAGAATTCACCAGAGACAGAGTGGGGAGCAGAACAGGCAGATCGACAAAGTACACTGCTGAGGGGAGCAGTGGGCGGGTCAGGAGAGGTCTGCCACGCCATGTGGTAGCCTCCGGGGCAGGCGGGAATTGAGCTCCTGCGGAAGTGGCTCCAGCTTCCTAGTGCTGTGCTTTAACCCGCTGCGCCACCAGGGAGGGCCCATATCTGTCATTTTTAATGATTGTAAAATATTCTGTTCTTTCAACAAATGTCAGGAGCTGCTTTGTCGACACCATTCTTACCAGCAGAACTGAACAAAGACAGATGCATATGGCCCCATCCCTGAGGCGAGGGGTAGGCTTAGCTTCAAGTCTGATGGGAAAGTCTGAGTGTCATTTAACAGGGGCCCAACCAGATCTAGGTCAGCAAAGCCTTCTCTGTGTAGGGATATGTTAGCTGAGGTCTTGCAGTTGGCAACTCATAGATGAAGAGGGCGGGGAGTTCCAGGCAGAAGGAATAGCATGTGCAAAGGCTCAGCGGCAGCGGGGAGCTTGGTGAGTGTAGGGAGGATAAGAATGTGACATGGCTGGGACGTGACTGTGACAATGTGGTGAATGGGCGTGACCAGCTGGAGACAGCCTGGGCTGTGTGGGGAGTGTCCCTCTGTCCCAACAACAGTGGGGCCTGCTGGTGGGTTTTAAATCAAAATGAGTGTATTAGATGGAATGAGAACATTTTCCTTACCTGTTTTCTGCAGTTGAAAATTGTGGTTGTTTCTTGCTGTTCATTTTGATAAACGAATGATATTGGGATGGATACCTTCAGGCATAGATCATTGGTTTGATTACATTCTAGCCAGCAGGGTAAGACCCTGATAGGGACAGAATTTTGAAGGACAAAAACAGCCAGAGGTTAGACAATCTGGCCCTGGGTGGGGCCAAGGAAAGGCATAGGCAGCTGGCAGAACCGGTGCTGACAGCCAGCCCCGCAGTTGGAGAGGGTAAGGGGCCATGCTGTGGGTCGTGGGCAAGTGGACAGGCTCATTTGAAGGTCCAGACACCCCCTCCCCAGCGACAGATTCCCCTTTACTCAGGAGAGGCATTCCTGAGCAAACAGAAGAAAATACAGGAAAGGCAACAGTGAAAGGACATTTCAGGGAGAAATGGGTGCAGCCAAGGCCTGAAGAGGGGTGAGTTTCTTAGGAGAGGAAATACGTGTGTAGGGAGGGAAGTGGGGCTGGAGGGGAGGCAGAGGCAGATGGTGAAGGGCGGGGGGTTGGGGAAGGTGTGAAGGCGGCTCTAGTTTGGGGGGGGACGGCCTTGCCCAAGCCCCTCAGGCCACTGCAGGACAACAGAGTGGGGTGAAGAGCAGGGTGAGGAGACCAGGGAGCAGGCACTGGTCACGGCACTCACTGCCCACGACGGGTGGCGGTCAGGGAAGACTTCCTGGAGAAAGCACAAAGGAGGTGAGCCTTGTGGAGGGAGAGGAGTGGGAGCCGAAGGAAAAAGAGAGAGAGAAAGCATGGGCAAAGGCACTAAATGGGCTTGAGCTCCCTGGAGCAGCAGCAAGGGTGGGGGAGGCCACTAGCTGGAGAAGGGCCTTAGCCAGGCCTGACCTTGACCCTTTTCTCAACTGGAGAGAGCCCTGTGGCACTGCCTGGGTTCTTTCCTGTTGTTCTCTCTGCTAAGAAGGTTCTGAATTCTGGGTCTGTACTAGCTCTTTTTTTTTTTTTTAAGATTTATTTATTTATGCATATAAGAACTGGGGTACAGGCCAGAGATGCAGGGGGTGAGAGGATTCACGAGAGACAGAGTAGGGGAGGAATGGGGAACAGAACTGGTGAATTGACTGATTGTACTGCTGAGGGCAGCAGCAGGCGGGTCAAGAGAGGTCTGCTGCGCCCTGTGGGTCAGCTCCCTGGCCAGGGATAGAGCTCATGCTGCTGTGGCTGTGGAGAGCTTCAGCCCCTTGTGCTGCCAGGGACGGCCTCTGTGCTCGCTCTGATGCCCCTCCTCACTCCACCCTATGTGGCCCTGGAAGAGTTACTTACTCTCTCTGAGCTAAAGGGATAATGTCTGTCTGAAGGGAATCAAGTGAGTTAACGAATGTGAAGTGCCAGTAGGTATAGAAAATTCATTTGTAGAGTTATTTTCTTTTCCTTTCACCATGGAAATTTCATAAAAGAAAAGTTTAAAGCAATAAAAGAAGAAACATCCATTACTCGTGCACTTAGTCTAATCCTAGCCACCAATGTGGTATGTTCCTTTCCAACCTTTTTTACCATGACACTTGTTGTTTTTAAGCAATTAAATCATGGGCTGTTCTCAATTTTGTTTCTTGCATTTTCTTTTCTTGTTACATTCTGTGGGCAGTGCCCCCTGGACGGTGGCTGTATCTGTATCTCCTTTGTCATGTTGTCTGCACAGCAGTCCCTGTGGGGGACCACGGGGTGACATGCTGGGGGGTTTTCTAGTGACAATGCTCATGCTCTGGGAGACCCTGAGGCCAGAGCTGGGTGGTCTGACTCTGCATGGCCCCCAGAGGCTAGGCTGCCCAGAGATGAATAGATGAATGCCCCATTGATTAGAGCACCCCTCCCCGCAACCCCCCCTCCACCCAGTCTGACATGGGGTGGACGGGTGCTTGGAAAGGCTGCACTGGGTTTGGTAGTGCCCTCCCAGTGTCTCTGGCTCCCCATAGGTCTGAGGAGACAGCTAGGCTGGAGGGAGTAGGATCAGGCAGTGAAGCCCCAGAGGGGAGGGAGCAGAGGGCCTGCATGGCTGCTTTTGTTCCTACCCCAAGACCTCCTAGCCAGTCTCTGGAGAGGAGGAAGATGAGAGTGCCAGGGGAGGGCTCCACTCCCATGTGCCCTCCAGCTCCCTCACGCACCCAGGGAACTGGTCCTTTGCCCACCACTGCTGGAGTGCCTGGCCCACCTGAGTCTGCGGCAGGCACCGGAGCACCGAGAGATGGGCCTGGTGGAGGCTGGAGCCTGGCGCTGGCCTAGCAGGGCGGTAACAAGCTAAAGTCTGTTCTGGGAATCTGGGCAGTGGCTGGCTCCCAAAGCATGAGCTCAGCCTCTGGCAGAGGGTCTAGCCAGGGGCCGGGCCTGGACTGATGCCCCTGCCCCCCGCCCATGTTGATGGGGCCTCTGTTCATGCCCAGAGCCATGACCCACAGGGAGCAGCAGGGCCATTTGGGGCCTCTCTTGTATCAGGAGGTGTGCAGGGCTGGAGAGTGGTCAGAGAAGGGTGGTCTGGGACCACCTGTGGGGCCCTTGAATGGGGCAGTCTGTTGGGCAGCCCAGCAGGGTGAAATGGAGCAGGCTATCAGGGAAGGTCTGGCCCGTGGGTGACTTCAGTAGGAAGATCCGCACGAGGAGCAAGGACCAAGACTGAGCAGCCAGGCAGAGGGCGCCCCGACTGAGGCCTGCACTTGCAGTCTGAGGACCACCGAGCAGTGCAGAGTTGGGTTGACGGGCAGGAGATGGGCCCTGAGGGATCTGAGGGCTGAGACTAGTGGAGCCTGGCTTTGGAATTACCCAGGGCTGACGTGAAGAGAAGGGGGATTAGCTCTGGGGGAGACAGACATCACAGCCTGGCTTCCTAGGAGCTTTGGGTGTAGGGAGAGAGACAAGGTAGAAGCTCAGCCACGAGGGGGTGGGGCGGTGTTCATGCTGTTGCTGTCAGCGAGGCCGGAGTGACTGGGGCAGTTGAGGATGGGGGCCTGTTAGTGTACGCGCTCCCACAGTGTTGTCTAAGTTCTGACAACATCTGAGTCCCACTCTACAGTAGAGGGGAGTAGACATGGGAGATTGGCCCATGTCACCTAGCTAAGTAAATGGCAGAGGCACAGGACCCAAACCCCTGCACCCCTGGGAAAGAGAAGAACGTGGCAGCCTATGAACAGGGTAGCCTTTCCTGGGGTCCCATCTCAGTTGGGCCAGGACAGGCCTGGATGTCCCCTTTACCATAATAAGAAGGGTCTGGGGTAACCTGGGGTGACTTGCAGGGCTGCAGTTGCGCTCCCTCCCTGGGGCAGGCAGGTCCTCACAGGGTGTCTCCCATCCTTGCTCTGGCTCTGGCGTCTGACCCCAGCGAAGTGAAGAAGCCAGCTCTGGAGTGAACGAGTGTCTTGT